GTTTCAATTGCCCTTCCCCCCCCCCCCTCCTCCCGGAAAAAAGTCTGAAAGAAACACAAAATAGTTGTATGGAATATTTTTAATTGTGTTAACTGATCACGAAATGTTTTACAATTTAATATTTAAACAGTATAGAAATGATTATTGGAATTTTAAAAGTGTTTACCCATTGGGTACTGTTATACTATTAAAGAAATCTCCACCAATCTTATTTAACAAGCTTATAAAATTATTAATGTTGCGTGTTATTTTATACACTTAGAAATGCATAAATATAAATATTTATTACTTTATAGATTGACGTCATATTACAATCCTATGCTGTGTATTACACGGCTAACATAAGTATTCTGATGTCAGACAAAGTCGGATCAGTGGGAGACTTCAACATTAAATCCCCCCTCACATTCTGGGCAAGCTATACATTTGTATCAAGCCACAACATGAACAGGGATGATCTGGAGCGCCAAATTTTAGACGAACAAACATTCAGTCGTATATCGATCACAGTTACAGAATCTATAAAAATAAAATTGGTGCCGTTTCTTGAAATTAGCGGGTCCAGAAACTGTTCCTATTTTAATTTTCATAAAAACGCTTCACGTTTAAGATGCTTCGATTTTCAAAGAAATAAATCGTTTGTAGAAAATAAAAATGAAGATTACCACCTGGACGCTTTTATCAATCTTAGGCCAACTTTAACATGCAGGTATGTGGGGTTCAATCAGTCAGATTATTATGTGGAGCTGAAACAACAAGACATCCCACCAACTGTTACAGTGTCCGTTGATCTTAAAGTCACAAATTTGACCTTCACGAAGAGCTCTGAGCTGGGCATGTTGGAGATAGATGAAAAGGGTGGATTGAAGGTTTGTGTTGATCTTCTAGAGATAAAGAGGCAGAGAATAAACCAAAGCGAAATTTCCCTGCCTGGGAAAATTGAGAGTGTTGACGCGGCATATATTGTGACGCTGGTCTGTGTAGCGGCGTCAATGATTTGCTTACTGCTGACTCTGATGACGTATATCCGGCTACCTATATTAAGAAACACCGCTGGGAAGAACACGATGTTTTTGTGTGCTAGCCTGTTGTTGGCCCAAGGTTCTTTGTTAGCAAGTGCTCATTTGTAAGTTTAATTGTTTTAGTTTGTTCTTTTGTTGTTGTTTGTTTTGTTTTTTGTGTTGTTGTTTTTTTTTTGTTTTTTTTTTGTTGTTGTTGTTGTTGTTTTGTAGTGAGCATTTATTTGGTTTTATTAAACTTTTACAGACCATTGCATTGTCACAATTTTAAATACAAATGTAGCAATAGCGTTTTCTTTTTACACATGCGACATTTTATTTTTATAAAGAACCCCTCCAAGCATTCTGTGCACCGCCTCTGGAATCTCCACCCACTTCCTCTGGCTCTGGATGTTGTCCTGGAGCTTCACCTGCAGCTACCACATGTTTCAAATCTTCACGTCCAACGCACCAAAGTGTATAACGGCCCAGTCAGAAAGACGACAGCTCTACAAGAATATCATCAGGTCTCTGGTACTGCCCACACTAGCCGTGGCCGGGGTGGTCATTTATTTTTCTGCGTCTACCCGGGGGGACAGGATTGGTTATGGTCACGTGACTTGCTATCTGGACTCGCCTTTGATGAACGGTACGGTAAAATTTTTATGGATAGATATGGGTATGCATGGTCGCTTTAATGTGATTTATGAATTTTTAAAATAGACCTACAGTGCAAGGAAGACTATAAGACATCGTGATTTTATTTTTATTTTATAAAGCTTAAGGTATATAATGAAATTGTGATGCAAAATACGTTAGAGACCAAATCTATTTTTAAAATGGGATAGACGATGAAGTACAAGAAATATATTTTACCTAAATAATGTGTTTAGCATACAGAATTAGTCAATCAAATTAATGATGCTAATTTAAAAAAATTGTTACTAAAATTTACATTGTAAAGAAACATAAATTTAGTATGTGAAAACTGGTAAAAGATATAAAAACGTTTTTTTTCTCCAGTTATCACATTTGTGGGCCCACTCACTTTGATCACGGTATGCAACTTCGTCTTCTTTGGGATAACCGTTTTTAAGATCCAGAGCATTGTAAATCTTCAGTCTGCTGAGACTTTCAGAAAAGACAACCAGCATCACATCTATGTATACGTCAAGCTGTCCCTTATGACTGGAGCATTTTGGACATTGGCTATTGTAGCGGAAACAGTTGACAATCAAGTTTTAAGGTCATAATATATATATATATATATATATATATATATATATATATATATATATATATATATATATATATATATATATATGGTTCCATGACAAATTATCTCAGGACACATAATCTCAGGACAAATGATCTCAAAGAACAAATGATCTAACGGACAAAATATACCAGGACAAAATATATCAGGACAAATGATACGATGGACAATTGATCTCAGACAAAATATCTCAGACAAAATATCTCACAGCAAAATTTTAATAGTATGTACGATGATTTTAGTTGATTTGAACTTTTTTTTATTGACTGTCAATATGGTATTGTTTACTTTTTACGCATAATAATTGTGAATAAAATGAATTTGTTAAACTGAACAAAGCATCAAAAGATTTATCAAACTTAATCTTTGTAATAGCATTTTTATTTGAAAAAGTAAAAATTAAAACCATTTTACTTTTTTAGTCTGAAAGGTATAATAAATGATAATGTATAAAACAAATAAAGTAACTGTAGTTGTACAACATTAATATTCAAAACACGCGAAATATTTTTAAAAAATGTGAATGGATCTTCAGGTTCGTAACATAAAACTATTGTTTCTAATGCATCATCAACTCAAACATAACGTTCACGTTTCTTTGCTGGCAGGTACATCGTTAAAATCACACCTCTCCAATACTATGTGATCATGTATTGTATGAACTCTTGCTTTACATGTTCTAACTTCACGTTTCCAAATTTCTTTGCCAGCTGCTCAACTTGTGGCTTTTATAAACATAAATTCACCAGAAACGAATGTCCTAAAACCTTTCAGCTAGGTAACTAACGAGGCAATAGCTGAGTAATCACCACCAATGCTGCTTTGTTTGCATGCACACAACGACAAACTTAGCTCCGCGATGACCGCTGTCGTTTAAATACGCATTTCTCACCTGATCACTAAGGTGTGACCGACGCATAACTATTGACTTTAGATGCTAGTTGTATTGTCCATGGAGGGCGGTTGTCTTTTCCTAAAGGCGTGTCTCTGCGGCCACCTTGATACGAAGGTGTGTCTTTATTGTTGTTTCATTCCCTTTTATGTAGTTTCGTCCACCTGACATGGTAGGATTGTCTCATGTTTGTCACGCCCACCTTCGCTGTCCATCGAATAAAATTCTTAAATCTTCGCATTCTATACAAATTTATGCGGTAAACATTTATCACAATTATTATATAGGCTCATAAACCATATTAAACATAGTAAATAAAACCATATGACAGTCAATACAAAAAAATGTTCAGATCAACTAAAACAATCCAATACACTATTAAAATTTTGCTCTGAGATATTTTGTCTGAGATCAATTGTCCATGGTATCATTTGTCCTGATATATTTTGTCCTGGTATATTTTGTCTGTGAGATCATTTGTCCTTGAGATCATTTGTCCTGATATATTTTGTCCTTGTATCTTTTGTCTGAGATCATTTGTCCTGAGATCACTTGTCCTGTCACCACATATATATATATATATATATATATATATATATATATATATATATATATATATATATATATAATACAGAGAGAGAGAGAGAGAGAGATTTACAAGCAATATTTTGTTGTTCTCAACTTTCCTTCTGTCTTAATGCATTTTCTTATATAAATGTTCCTTGCATTTTCTCATATCTCCACAGGATAATATCCGTCATCCCAAACGGGTTGCAAGGTGTCATCATATTTGTATCTTACGTGTGCAACAAACGAGTCTTCAGTCTGTATCGGAATCCTCCAGCACCCGGCTCTACCGTGATCTCAGTTCCAGAGAGAAGCGGATCAGGGCAACAGTAGTTTTAAAACTAGCCTGCTCACCAAGTTGACCAATGACGGCACGGTGTAATGTTAGAATAAATTGTAATAAATTATAATAAAAAATTACGCTTATTGTTTTTAATCGGTAATCACACTTTACGACAAAATCAATTTCGATTACCATTCATCAAGCTTATTACGTTTAAACAGAATTGGTTTTACTTATTATCTTTCTCTTCATTTTTCAAATCAAGAAAAGATTATTATATATATACGGTAATAAATGGTAACGTTCGAGTTTTTACTTTGGTTTGTGGTTTTTGTAATGTATTGTAAATGTTTCTGATTACTTAGTTTCAAATACTATAATTTTTTATAATTATTTAATAGGTGCACAACAAATTTTAAGCATTCCATAAAAAAATATTAAGTAGCATCAAACAGCATTATCATCTTGTCCTGTTATGTGGGAATTCAGCATCAAAATCTGGTAGCTTCTTGAAATATTCAAGTCAAAATCGAAGAGAAACAGAATATTTTTCATCAGATGACGCCATCACGATAACAGATCTTTAAACTTAAATCCTCAGAGTTTATTTCAGGCATCTCTTGTGAGTACTTAAAAAGCACGTCAAACACCCCCCTCCACGCACACGCACCAAATTGGAAATAATTTCATACCCCCCCCCCCCCCCCGGAGATATATGTCTTGAAGATACATTGAATACCCCCATTTATGAGAATCCCCCTCCCCCTGTTAACCATCTCGCTTTTATACTTTGATAGTTTATATAATTAACCCCCCTCCCCCACCCCCTCACACACACACGCACCCCAACACCTAATTTCATATAATTATCTACACCCGTCAAGAACATAAGGAGAGGGGGCGATGTAATTGAGAACACTGCGTGGTTGAACACAGAATGCAATGTGTAATTTGAGATAATCAGCGTATCTAGGCTAAACTCGATCAAAGTATTGGAATGTGTGCAAAGATAAGGGACAAAAACGTTCAGGAAATAATTGAATAGAAGAAATACGTTGTGTGAAACACTGATCTAAGATGTGGTCAAAGATTGTTGCTGTTTTGATAGTTGTGCTCTGTATCCGAATGTCGCACCAGCAAAGACGTGAGTACATATTGTCTTGAGCTTCACGTTATTATAAATTAAACTGTCCTCCCCATCAAACATACAGGGTCTTATAAATTAAATGTTAATTGCATACCTTCAAACTAATTTATAATGAAATTTCAAAATGTGGGTATGTTAAAAACATTAAATTTTGTGGAATTTTGGGGCATTAAAACTAGTTTTTTAACGGGCCCACAATTTGAAAATTCATAATAAATTATTTTGATGATAGGCACTTACAATTTTTAGATGAGTACCTCAAAATACGGTAGAAGATTATGAATTCATTGTTTTTCGGTCTTAAAGTTTAATATTTTATGAATGGTAGAAATCCTACGAAGGGGTTAATTTTTCAAGATGGCCGCCGTTGTCATAGTTACCAAGATTTTTCCACCATCTTTCTTTTATGGAAACATATATGTGGATGAACCTTTAAAAAGCTATAGAGAAAAAATTGTTTGCTCTCTAGTATTAAAAATATTTTTTAATGGAGCATACCTTAAGGAAAGCAAATTAGTTTTATTTTCGGATTCAATGGCCTTCAATGCGCATAACAAGTTGACACGTAGTACTCAATAGTGTTAGAGGCAGTAGCGTACGCAGGGGGGGAGCAGGGGGAGCGGCCGCTCCCCCTCTGGCCATTTTCAGCAAAGTGGCGCCTTTTTGGAAACTTTTTAAACTCAAAGTTTTAAACAATGATATTTGTTAAAAAATATTTTTGGTCGGCACATCTATGTAAATCACAAGATTTCTTTTCATGCAGCAATTAAGCATTATTGTACTAGTCTAGTAGTGTCTACGTTTACAACACGTATTAACAGCTGCATCAGTTTGCCATTCTAAAAATAACCATTACGATGCATTGCAATGTTTAAAAAAACCCTACGGGTAGTACCACTTGGCAAGAGGGGTGTTAAGTTTAAGGCAACTGTATAATGTATTTGCTTACGAATAATTGAATTAGAAAATGTTATACATAAAACTTCACACATAATTACTTTATATATACAGTTTGAATCGTGTGATTAATTTTTAAAAAATTACAATACAGAAATAAATACAACTGATGTGGCACCTCTATTTAAATTTATTGATGAGCAAACTGCGTAGTGGTGGGGAAATTTTGACAAGGTCAACAACGTCAACACTATGAAGTAGTAGTATTCTTACAGTGATTACGATAGTGATTACGATTACAAATTATATGAAACAGTTACAACCCCCCTCCCCCATGGACCCCTCTGTAAAAAAAATATTGTCATAATACCACTGCTACTTATTTAAATCTATTTCTGTAATATATATTTGTGTAATATATATTTGTGTAATATATATGTATGTTTAGAACAGTCATCTAAAAACTGACGCTATGTTCACTCTAAGTTGGTTATCTCCCCCCCCCCCCCCACACACACACCTCACCACCACAATTGTGTAGAGCGACATTAATGCCACACTTAGGTATACACTGGGTTGGATAATTGACTTAAAGTGACCAGACAGTGGCGAATGAAGTTGAACCCCCCCCCCCAACCCACCCCGAACTGATCTGTTAAGTACATGTAGAAAAACGCGTAGTGATGTACCAAAGTACCATGCCGCCAAAAAAATAGCTTTTTAAACGTAAACTCTGTGAGTATTGTTTTTGCAATTACCAGTAAACAGGTGTGTGTGATCAATACAGTATTTCTAACCCATAACTATCACTATGTTAAAAATGATCTTTAAAGAACACAAAGAAGCAGTAGTTAATTAAAAATATATGATCTGAACTAAAAGACCAATATTTAGTTAAATGTAGGCTGTTATTCCGAATGCTGTCTAATATATTGAAAAGCACGTTTTTATACCAATTCTGATTTTAAAAACTTTTATTATGCTGTTATACTTTAGCATTTATGATAATGATATATTACATTCTGATTATAGACAAAAACATTTTGTAAACACGAATAGTGTTAAACAATTTCATTATATTCTAAAGTAATTATTTATTTGTTTTGACATTTATAATTAAATGTGTAGATATATACATATTTATATTAAGAGAGTGATTCTTTCCCCTATTTCACTTGTCTTAAATAATTTCCCAGGAATTATTATGTAAGAAATTTGTTTACAAGAATTACAAAACAGATTGTGTTACGTTCATTGTTTTTGATTGTAGTGGGTGTAGATTTTTGTTGTTGTTTTTGTTCTAGATTGATACAATTTTTGTTTTGTCGGCCTACTTTGTGTTTTTTTTCTTTTTTCTTCAGGTTGCTACTTTTAATTTATTTTACATCATAGCGAAGTAATGACATACAGCTAGTAATTATATATATATATATATATATATATATATATATATATATATATATATATATATATATATATATATATATATATATATATATATATATATATATATAATACACGTATATATATATATATAATACACGTTAAAAAATCGGCGCCTTTTTTTGCTCTTTTCGCTCCCCCTACAACGAAAACCTGGATACGCCTCTGGTTAGAGGGTATGTCTTCCAAAACTAAAATTAACAACGAAGAAGAAAAAGTTTTATTTTACTTTCATCGCATTAAAAAGCTTATTATTCTAAATGTTGTTTCTATTTGTTTTATTCCAAATACTCTCAAACTACTCTACGCCTCTCCCAGCCGACTACTGTCAGCTGAAGCCGGAGAGCGGCTTCTGTGAGGCCTACATCCCCAGCTTCTACTATAACCCAGCTAGCGGGGACTGCGAGTCGTTCGTCTACGGGGGATGCGGCGGCAACCAGAACAGGTTCGGATCCCAGCAGCTCTGTGCCAGCACTTGTCTGGCCAATGTCTAAGGATGAGAACGTTCCATCACGTGGTGATAAAATTTGGAATGGTCAACTCGGCCATGTAGATTAAAGCATCATAAATACATATCCTTAAACGTGTTTTCTGTCTTTGATATTTCAGTACGTAAGCCGGTTGATTTTGTTATTTTGTTTTTATTTTTTGTTTTTATTCTAAAAAATTGATAGAGCTAGTCCAAGGTGTTAAAAAAGACGTCCCCCACAGCTCAAGAGGGTAAAGACTGTTTTGACAATGTGTAGCCCAGGTTAATGTGATAATGCATGTGTAGCACAAGCTGTATAATTCGTAAGGATGATCATCTTTTCCCGTTCGGAACAAAGACACATGAGCAGATGAAGTAGAGTTGATCTGTTTCAATGACCTTAGCATACAAGTGGATAGTGTAGTCAGCACTATGCCTGGACGACTTTGTTTCCTTTGTTTGTGCATATTCAGGTGGGTGTCTACGTGTTCCAGCTAAAGAGGAAACAATTCCTGATAGACAACAACGTCGTCAAGTTTCACATCTCAATTATTAAAGACGAGCCGACCCGCGGAGTATCATACGCCGCTATTTAGTTGTTTTATATTTTACTTTTCAGTAATTCATGATTTGTGAATTCGACAGTGCCAACGCAGCCACTGAAAATATCTATATATATAATTCTTTTCTGGGAGACGCTAGAAAACAAGCTGTAAGCGCGCTCCCTACCACCCCACCCCTACATGGTCTGGTGAGCTGTGGTTCAAGCTAAATGTTTACATTCGTATAGCCGGGTTTAGTGACGGCTATTAGGGGCAGATAATTTAGTTTGAAACGATTTTAAACTTAGGGGAGGTAACTAAGAGGAGGCTGCTTTCACAGGGGGAGGGGTGTAGGGTAGGGGTTGGGGGAAAGGAGGGTGGGGGTAGTATCGTTCTTAACGACCTACTGATAGTGTTTTAAAGCAAATATTTTCAGTGGCAGCATTGGTACTGTCGAATTCACAAACTATTAATTACTGAAAAGTAGAAAATAAAACAACTAAATAGCGGCATATGATACGCCGCGGGTCGGCTCGTTTGCTTTAAAACACATTCAGTAGCTCGTTAAGGACGATAGTTGGTTGTTAGTGACGATAAACCCCCCCCCCCTCATTTCCCCCAACCCCTAAATTTAAGTTGAACCACAGCTCACCAGACCATGTTGGGGTGGGGAAGGTTGATTTATGCCTAGTGAAGAAGAGAGGGGACTGCAAGGCGCGCTTACAGCTTGTTTTCTAGCGTCTCCCAGAAGAGAATTATATATATAGATAGATGTTTCTAATCACAACATTTCCCAACTGAAGCTTTCAACGGCTACCTATGTTTTAGTTTCAGAAAGATTTCTCTTATCAATAAGCATTGTGGGGTCGGCGTGGTGGAGTCGGTAAAGCTCATGGTTGCTAAACCGAAAAGTCTCGAGTTCGAACACTCGGGCAGATGAAGCTCGCTTGGTGGGGACGACCACTCTTCTAGGAGAGACAACTCCAAAATCAAACAACTGCTGTACTTTGTTCCTATGGAAGCAAATCCAAAAAGAAAATCAGCCTGAAATCGGAGTCAATGGCCTCAATGGCGCATAACCAGTTGACACGTACCCTTAATTGTGTTGGAGGGGATCACTTCCAACACTGAAATTAAGAACGAAGAAGAAGATGGCATATGGGCTTCGCCAGAGCTGTTTGTAACTACATAGATCTATTTTTATTAAATAGAGCAAATGCCTAGGTGAACAGTTAGAGCGAAATTGTAATTAGTATCCAAAATAAGTGCCTTAGATCTGCAAAAACTCTCTTAAGATTCGCGGGGGCATTCCTAAGATGGGAGGCGAGATAAGAACAGGCAATATAAAATTCAATCTAAACAGTGTCGTTTTCAGTGGTTTTTAATCTGTATTATATCATGTTTACTTATATCACGTTCTATAGTCCAAGGAAATGGGACGGAGTGGTCGAGGGGTAGATGACAAGACTGTTAACCCGAAAGTCGTCACGTCTTTTGAGTCCACCCAGCTCTGATGAGTACCTGAGATACTATGAGGAAAGTAAATACGGCTGGACATGGAAGTGACCTATTCTTTTTATACACCAAGGTCTGAGGACCAAAGGAACTCAAATTTGTTTGCCCTACACGCACAAACACATTATTACTGGGAGTGATATTTCAAATACTTAAGTCAATAAATGGTAGCTTATCAAAGGATTCCAAATCATTTCATGGTAGATTGCAGTATGTCGAATAATATTATCGAAATAGTATTTACTGATTATTTGAATTCAAATCATGCTGTGGTGCATTATAAAGCAACCATAACCACTGGCGTAGCGAGGTCGGGTGTCACCCGGTGCGGCACTTAATGGTTTCACCCCCCCCCCCCCCCAAAGGCGTAGCGACCGTTACCGGGGACAAATTTTCGATTTGAACCCCCCCCCCCCCTCAACTTTCGATTTGCACCCCCCCCCCCCCGCCTCAAGTTTTTCTCCATATATTTTGCTATTTTTTGCCTTGGTGTCACCCCCTAAATGGTGTCACCCGGTGCGGTCCGCACCCCCCGCCCCCCCCCCCCCCCCTCGTTACGCATCGGACCATAACTATATCGGAAGAAAAAAGATTGTATATAACCAGACAAAAAACTAATATACAGCTTACAAATGTTAGACATCTTTTTTACTATGTTGAATATTTGGAAGTATGTGATCATCTTCGTTCTTATTCTTTTTTGTTCTTAATTTTAGTGTTGTAATGGATTCACTCCATCACATTTAAGTATTCGTGTCAACTGGTTAGGCGCCATTTAGGCCGTTGACTTCGATTTCAGCTTGCTTTTCTTTTTTGGCATACATAACCTTTGTCCAACCAAGAACAAACTACAAGTTGTTTGATATTGGAGTTATCTCTCATAGAAGATTTGTCGTCCCCAGTTATCGAACTTCATCTGCCAGAGGGTTCGACCACGCCGATTCCTATATGATTATCGATTGACTTCGCTTCGGACTGACGTAGAAGTAGAGAGGCCTTTGTATTCTGTTACTAAAATACGCTAAATTATTTATCAAAAATCTCCAGAATCAGCAAAGTCCTTTAGATCTCAGTACAAACTTGTTTAAATATTAAAGAAATCGGAAGTTTGTTTATTATCCTGGAGAATTAATAAACATCGCGATAAGATACAAACGAATCAAAGAAACATAATTAAAACCCAAGTCCAACCTACGGTAGCTAGATTGGGTGATAGTTGATGAACAAGACAAGTGTGTTTTTCGTAGCTAGAATATTATACAGACAAATTGTTGAATAAAATGATGTTCATGTTCTCAAAATTTCTTCTTTACATCACAAATGTGTGCTTGGTGGCTGGGAGTTTCTTTAACGCGGCTCTGTACAAACCAGCTTTTATGAGCTCAGTGCTATCAGGGCATGCCTGGACAGCTGACAAGGCTAACGACGGATACGACAATGTGGATGTATTTAGTGGACACTGTTCTCACTCCGGCGACGATTCTCCTGGATGGTGGATGGTGGATCTGAAAGGTATCTACAGAGTGGAGCAGATTGTTCTAGTAAACAGGTGAGTTGGAAAGCTTAACATTTAGATCAGAGGCGTAGCGACCCTTCCCGGCTCCCGGGGACAAACTTTCAATTTGGCGCCCCTCTCGAGATCAACCTTTCAATTTTCGATTTGCGACCCCCTCGAACTATCGAGTTGCACCCCCCCCCCCTCAAACTTTCGATTTGCACACCCCCCCCTCATATATTTTTTTTATATTTATAAAGCAAAAATGCAGCTAAAATAATATTTTAATTTGTTTTTCCAACTCATTTTGGCGCCCCCTAGCGCCCCCTAAGGTTGGCGCCCGTGACATATGTACCCCCCTGCCCCCCCCCCCCTTCGCTACGCCTCTGATTTAGATCCACAGATACATCAGCTATTTTATTTTTTTTAATGCACAATACATTACATTTTAAACCTCAAGAATATTGTAGAACTTTTAATGGTAAAACTTAATAGGGCAAGAATAATTGAAATTATTAGCTAAATTGTTGCTGGAACGAGTTCTTACTAGATTTTTTTTAACTACAGTTTGCTTTATTTAAAAATTTCGTGTTTTCAAAAATCTCTGTAAATCTATTCTTACTCTAAAAAAAACTAACGTTCTGTTTGTAGGTTAACTATTCTTCTTTGAAGCAAATCTAGGACATTACCCACCCTGCAGTCATCTCCCACCCCCACCCCCTTCAGTTACCCCCCAGGACAACTACAACCCTATCAATTAAAAAGTGTCTCATTTCCTTTCCCCTACCCTCACCTACACACTTTAGCTTTGTCTTCCCTTTCTTAAATTTATTATGTGGTGTTGGATGTTAGGATCAGCTTTAGGGTTAATTTGTTACCTCAAGAACTTCCATTTTTTTTTTTGCAGTTGTAGAGTGGGGGGTGGGTCTAAGAGACAGGTGGATAATTCAACTAGGGTCATTTTCGTTAGGTGGGATAATCCATGTGTCCGTTGTGGGGGGGGGGGGTAATGTCCTGCTTCTATTTGATGATCAGCATGTTTAAAATCGATTTACATCATGTCTCGTTTTGTTAAGTAAGAATGTATGTCCGGCAAAAAGGTTTCTAGGTAAAAAAAAAAACAAATGTACTGAAATATACTCTACAGGGGTGATCAGATTTCTCCGTCAATGAGAACGAAAAATTTTACTTTTGATGTTTTTGAAACCGACCCAAGACTATCACGTGACTTTCCTATGGAAGCTGGCCAGGTGTGCTACACGAGACTTGAGCCTGTCGGACCGGGAGAGACGTTCATAAAGAACTGTACTGTACCAATTTTGGGAAGATTCGTTCGATTCATCAGGTATCTATATCCTTTAAAAGCAAAAAAGAAGGGGGGGGGGGGGTCAGTGGCGCAGCTACCGTAAAGCTAGCGTAAGCAAGGCATAGGGACTCAAGGCAAATAGGGGCCCTTTTTCGAAAGTGTGAGGGGTGGGATGCAAATCGAAAGTTTGTCCCCGGTCGCCGCGGGAAGGGTCGCTACGCCTCTGAGTGGCCCACTAACACTTT